TCACTAGACAGCAGACCCCCCACCTTTAAGACAACTTTCTGGGCCCAGACTACTGGTGGGGAAGAGGTTAAGGACTGGTCCCGGCCCACTAGTCAGCTGACCGGAAAGGGGCAAGATAAGAATCCAGGACAAAATGGCAGGGGGGGGGGGTCAGCAGCCGAAGTGTGCTTAGCCAGCCGAGGGGGAAGGCGTGCCCCCGAGAGCTCCACAGAGAAGCTGGGTGAGCGGCCCAAAGGCAGGAACTACGAACCTGTGGAAAGATGGCGGCCTACCAAGGTTGGCTAGTGTGGGGGGACTGCTCGTGGCAGGGCAAATCCCATAAAATCCCACACGATGCGCCTTGGGGAAAAGGCGAGCAGGGGGTGCCTGAAAACCTCCGCCTCCGCATACCTGAATTGTCGATGAGCGAGGACAAGAGTGAAGATCCTGCCTGGTGAGTCTGGGGCTTAAGGGGGGAGGTGTGTAGCAGGGCACTAAGGCGCCTGCTACTCGTAAAGCAGAGATAATTACCCAGGTGCAGGTTGCTAAGGGCAACCAGAGCGAGCTAGTGACCCACACCTGCCAGCGGTCAGCTGACCAGAAGGGGCAGGGCCTGGCTCACATTTAAACCCCAGGGCTGAGGCCAGGCAGGGGGTCCTGCCAACAGCCGGGGGGGAAAGAGCTCTCCCAGAGAAGAGGGGAGAGGCCTGACTGCAGGAGCAGCTTCTGTCACTGCTGAGGGACGGAGGATTCCCCGGTATGACTTGAATTATGTTATAGCCAGGGGGGTGCTTGTGTTTTGTTTGCTATTTAAAAACCGGAGGTTTGGGTGAGGCTATTAGGGGACGGAGGAGGCCTCATGTTGGGGACCCACTCCGGAGTGGGAGCCCCGGCGCCAGAGAGGGCACAGCTTTGGGGGTACAGACCCCGGTGCCAGTGAGGCAGAGTGAGACAGGGCTGCGGAAAGCCCGAGTGCCAGTAAGGACACAGTTTGGGACGATACAAACCCCGGTACTCAAGGGACAATTGTAAAAGGCCGGAGAGGCCTGGTGCACCTGGGGTGCGGGTATAGTTTTGTTTTTGTTTGGACTGGTGGTGTTGTACCCTGGTTTTGAGCTTGCGGCCCCTTTGCTGCGGGGCTGGCACCCGTGCCTCTGGGCAGGGGAGTGCTGTGTTCCAGAATGGAGCAGGAAAGGGAGCCATGAGCCTCCAGGGACTGGAAGGAAAAGCTAGAGACTTGGAGTCGAGCCCTGGTTTGGATGGGGAGGCCTAGCTAGAGGAAAAAAGGGGTCCAGCCATCCTAGGAGAGACCCCAACATACCCAGTATAATAGGCAGTCTCCCGCTTGCATAATAATTTCCATCAAGACATGGCAGGCGAGATTAGGGCAGGACAGAAGGATTCCAAGAGGGCCCCAAGGGCACCCCATGCAAGGCACGGATGACCGGGAAGATGGTGCTGGGGAGGTCAACCTGTTACAGGGAGGAAGGAGGAACCAGGTAACTATAGGCCAGTTAGCCTTACCTCTATCCTTGGCAGGACCTTTAAGAAAATTAAGGATCACATTTGTGGGGGACCAGTGGGTTAAACAATGCTAAAGGGCAACCAGCATGGGTTCATGTCAGGCAGATCCTGCCTGCTTAACCTGTTTTTTTTTCATGACCAGGTCACAAATTGCTTGGATGAAAGAATAGAGATAGATGTTAGTTACTTACAGTGTTGCACCTAGGGAGGAAAAATCATCAACACTCCTACAGCCTGGGAGGTGCCACTCTAAGTAGCACAACTCCAGAAAGGGATCTCTGAGTCGTAGCGAGTCACCAATGTGATGAAGTAATAAGTAACGCTAACCTCACTCTTTCTTGCATAAGTAGGTGCATCACAAAAAGGTCTAGTAAGCAGACGATACCTTCCCTCTATTCAGCATGGGTCAGACCACAGCTGGAGTACTGCATCCAATTTTGGGCACCGCACTTCTTGAGCGATGTGGATAACCTGGAAAGGGTTCAGAAGAGGGCCAACCATCTGGTTAAAGGCCTACAGAAAAAACCCTACAAGGACCAATTGAGGAACCCAAATCTTTTCAGCCTCCACAAAAGAAGGTTGAGAGGTGATCTTGTGGCCATCTACAAACTCATCGCGGGGGGGTAGCAGGAAATACGGGATATGATGTGCCCATCGGGGGCACCCATCGAGGTAACTAGAAACAATGGCCACAAACTGAAGGAGAGCAAATCTAGATTGGACATCGGGAAAAAATTCTTTACAATGAGGGTTGCCAAAATATGGAATATGCTTCCAAGGGAGGTGGTGCTGTCCCCTTCCTTGGAGGTATTTAAGAAGAGATTGGACAAACACCAGGCTGGGGTCATCTGACCTCAGCAC